TGCAGAGCCCTCCTGCCTTCCAGCTGGTCAACACTCCCCCCAGCTTGGTGGCATCTGCAAATTTGCTGATGGTGGACTCAATCCCCTCATCCAGATCATCAATAAAGATATTAAACAGAACTAGGCCCAACACTGATCCCTGGGGGACACCACTAGTGACCGGATCCCAACTGGATGCAGCACCAATCACCACCAAGACACACATCAAGATACATTGCTCAGAATACATCTGAAGCTGTGAGGATGATCATGACAGGATCCCACAAAGTGCTGACTAGTCAGCAAGCAAGGTTAAGGATTAACAGGCAACACAAAACTGTGGATTATGAGATCTCAGCATCCTAATATTGTAACATGGGATGCTGCTCGTAAGAGATCATCCAATGCAGAACATGTTAAATCTTCCACAATACGGAGAGGAAGAGTGCTCAATAAAAGCAGGTAATTTGCATTGGCAGCTCTTGTAGGTGCTACTGGTCTTCAAATTAGACTGATTTTCGAGTACTGCTCATTTTATCCAGCCTATGTTTTCATACCCCCCTTTATTTTCTTTGTATTTCAATTCAGGAATAGAATCAATTGAAATTAGTCACAAGCCCTCTACAAACACCTTGGAAACAGATTTCCACACAGCTTTTTCATGTTATCAGCCAACAGGTTGAAGGATCACTGCCTGACACCGGATTCACGAATTTCATTCTTCTTCTTTTTCCTCTGTTCATTTGTTTCCTGGTGTTCTCTGTGTCCCATCTGGCTACTTCCATCTGGTTCCAAGCACTCCATCCACACTGCTCTTCTCCTGCCTGCACCTGTTCTCACCATCCTTACCCTTCCCTCCCGCCAAACCCCTCCCTCCAGCACTGCTCAGGGATGAGATGCAGTGTGCTTCACCTGGTATCCATCTGCTAAATGCAGACCCCAGCCTTGAACACAAGAGTAATTGGACGTCTGCCTCATCCCTTGAGAGGGCTTTCTCCGCATGCTTAAGCATTTTCGGGATCTGAGACTTTGATTCTCAGACCCTTGAGTCAGAGAATGCATCATTCTCTTCGCACGATCAACAGCACTTAAGGCAATTACACTCAGAAAATAATACTCAATATGCATATGCCTACATAAAAGCAGCATGACACTGACAATTCAAATGCAGAATTAAAACTGATTTGGCCTTTATTTTCTAAGAGTACTTAAGAAATCTTAAGCAGTACAGCATCAGGCAAACAAAAGACTTCAGTGATGGCAACTGGAAATTATTTGAAATTTAGGGCTCTCTTGGCAGTATGAGCAAAATTCCCCTGATTTCAGTGGGAATGGAGCAAGGCCATTAAACAATAAAATTAAAAAGCCCATTCTATCGAAATGGTATGTTTACAGGGTTTTTCTGGGGACGCCACATGTAAAAATCTAAGAAAATCTAACTGGACTGATTAAGCCAGCAATTTGATTTAAGCATGTAACAGCAGGTGAAGCACTTCCAGGGACGTTACGCTTGCTCAGTATTCCACTAAGACATTTTCAAACTATCCCATACCAAAATACAGACTAATTATAATCTTTGCATCAAAGAGGAAAGCTGCCCAATCTCTGAGCTTTTGTTCCATCTAATCTACGTTCACTGCACTCCTCATGCAAATGAGCACATTTGTTACAAATGGAGTAAAATTACTCTGCTGATCATCTAGTATTTTATCATCTGAGTTTCAGGCTTTTAAATATTTTGTTTGTGCATACCTTGCGTTGCGGTTGTAGTTAAATGGGAAGGATTCTTAGTGAATTTTTTGATACCACCAGGTAATTCGGAGCATGGGGGCCCGCCCCCTGCCCGAGCTGGGTCGAGGAAGACTGTTCCCAGCATCTCGGGACATGCTGGAATGGTCAATCATTGAAGTGGAGCATCCTGGGAACTCAGGAGATAAAAGGCAGGCACGTGTTGGAATCGCCCTCTTGGTGCCTGGTTTTTGCCTGCTGGAACACCGCAGACTCTTGGAGCCTTTTCCCGGGGCCCACCCTGCCTCAGCTGAGGCCACTTTGGCATCAGACCAAGGTCACCCTGGCCCCAGCTGAGCCGCCCCGGTGTGACCAACCACCACACCAGCACAGGACTTTTCTTCAGGCAAAATGTCCTTCCAGGGTTTGTTTTAACTTAGAGGAAAGGGGAGAAGCTAGGTAATATTTTTCTGTTGTTGTCGGGGGTTTTTTCTGTTTCTTTCTGGTTTTAGTAAAATTGTTATTTTTCCTTCTCCGTTCAGACTCCCGGTAATTTTTACCTTGTCTATTCTGAGGGGAGGGGAATTAAAAATAAATAAAGAAAAAAAAAAGGAGGGTTCATCTCATTAGAGGTCTCACCTCCCAAACATATTGCCATTAAACCAAAACAACCTGTCTCCTAGCCATGGTATAGCACATGGTATACTTTTGGTATCGTGTTTGCTCTGCAAAATTCACCCTAGGGCAAATGAGCAGGCTCTACACAAGTGTTATCCAGGAAATGTGAAAAGACTGACCTTTGACTTTGTGTCTCTGCTGATCTGCAAGCCAGGATAGTACTGTGCGTCCCTTCTGGTAGCAGACAGCCCCCAGTCATGTCCCCACAACACTTTGTGAAAGCTCCCAAGTCCCAGTCCAAGTCCCAGGCAGGCTGTGTGACACTCCTGGCTCTGTTTCTGTTGAGATGGGAATCCAGTGCAGGCAGTGAGGAGGAAGGATGGGAAGGATGGAAAGGGTGACTCATCTCTATCCTGCACTTGTAGTCAGGAACCAAAACATGCAGCTGCTGTCCAGGCTCCACCACAAGGATGCTAAGGCACAGCTGCAGGTGTTGACCATGGCCTTCATCAAAATCTAGTAAAATTCTGCTACTGAGGCACATTTGCCAGATGATTCTCTCTCTAGAGAATAAGAAGGACCCTGCAGTAGCTTCTTCATTATGCATTTAAAGATCAGGGAAACTAGCAAAGCCAGGTCTCAACACCTGTATTTGCCTAAAGCCTATGTGCATGGACTGGTCAGGCAGCTGCTGTTGTGTGGATGGACACTAGCTAAGTCCTGACTGCCCAGTCTTTACAGAATCACTGAATTATTAGGGTTGAAAGGGACCTCTTGAGATCATCTAGTCCAACCCCTCTGCCAAGGTAGTAGCAGGGTCATGCCCTGAAATCTTTGTCCATGATACATTGCTGCTGTTTAGCTGAGAGATATGAGAACTCAGAATATCCTATGACCTGTGCTTTGCTCCAGGTTGCTCCAGGCTTGATTGAAACAGGTCAGCAGTATGAATAAGATCACATACATTTTGTTTCCTTATGTTCCCCTTTCTCTCCCACTAGCAAAAATCTGAGTAGGATGTTGAGATGAAAGCATATTGGAAGTCAGCTGTTGTGAGTTTATGTGTAGTTGAACTATTGCTCCCAGTCAGGCAACTGTCATGATTATTATGGTTGGGGTTTTTTGGTTGGTTGGTTGGTTGATTTATTTTTTTTTGGTTGTTTTTTGGTTTTTCTTATTCTGGGGTTTTCATAAAAGGGATTCATTTTGGCCTGCTCAGAGATATTACATGTGTTAAAAGGGCAGATGGGATGAACAGCACTGTCCCTAGGTATGATTCAGCAGCATGTTTTCTTTAATTTGATCTTATGCCCACTTACCCAAAGGATCTAAGGACTAACCCTGTTCAACAACTGCTGTATTACACAAATGGTGACAAACAAACTTGTGCCAAACCACTAAGCCTGAACAACTGCAGACACTACACCACACCCCAGTGCTGTCTCTGTGACCACGGACTCAGTTTTTTGAGGGAACCAGCCCAGACAAACAGCTTTTTGCAGGTCAGCAAAAGCTTGAGACCAGGTAGGGCTATTTTGACTTACTGAGAAATTCTACAGCCTCCAAAACCAGCAGCTTTTTTTTTTTTTTTCCTACTATCAGGAAAAGTTAAGCTCAAGTCTTCCAGGCTTATCTTATCAGAGGAGATAACCAGGGTCTTTTGAGTGTTTTGGACCTCGTGTCTTCCTGCTGGTGACCAGTACCCCAATGATGCACTACTGGGTGCACATTTGCTGTGTGAGCTGTGCTGTGTCATGTTCTGCATCACCAGTAGTCTTTGCAATAGACACCACCCAATATAACACACTGCAGTGGTAAAATCAGAGTCCTGAAAAAGGTACAGGTGATGACAGCTTTACCATGTTCATACTGACACTAAGCATTATGCTTAAGCTAATCTTTGGTGGCTGGCACCCTTAACTCTTTGACAATAATGTCATGCAAAACCATCGTGCTTTGACCTACAGAATGAACTTGAGTTATACCTTAAGCTATTGTCGTGCTGAAAATTTGTCCTCAGTACTCTGCGAGTGGGGAGGACAACAATGTTACACTGAGTGGGGGAGACATGCTGAAGGAAGAGTGCAATTCCTCATAGCAACCCAAGTTTTTTATCAAATGTTGAGATATAACAGGTCCTTTGGGATGAACTTGTGTCCCCAAACAAGCAAACCACAGGAATTACTGTCCATAGGCCTATTTCTCAATCTGGAAACAGAAAAACAACTTCAGAAGGTAAGTCACCTATATGTGTCCTGCCAAATGTACCTGGCATGGGCCTGCAGAAATCACCACAAGGCCACAGCTTTCACTTCAGGCCTGACAGACAAGCTGAACATTTTGGGGAACCATCTGAATCATAACAGAGCCAATGGCAGAACAGTACACCTCTCATCATCAAATCTGAGAATCCTCAGGCTATGGAGGCACTGAAGCTAAGGACAGATGGCATTAAACCTCACCTTCCACTGATGATACTCCTGGTATCTAAGGTGTAAATGCACAGCTACATAGAAGAAAGCTGAAATTAACAAGAGTTTTCAGCTGTGATGCTTATCTCTTTTAGAAAAAGAACATGACACAGATGTTTTATTTTCTGTTGGTTCATTTATTTATATTTTTATTATGAAATCAATGACAAAGCTCTTTCACTTCAGGAAGTAGCCTAAAAAAATGGTCAGTAAGAAATGGCAGAGACAACTTCAAACACAACAAAACAACAGAATGTTTGAAAAATGTTGCTTGGAGGACCCCTCTGGAGCTCACACAGTACAACTTCCTGCCACCAGCAGGGGCAATTAAATGAGGTTGCTCCAATGCTGGAAGAGCTCACTGAACCCCACCCCATCAGTAAACACTCAGGTGAGAAAATGGTCCCCTGACCTATTGGAAATGTCCTGTATTGCAACTTGTGCCTGTTGCCTTTGTGCCTCTACCTGTGCCCTTCTGAGAAGAGTCTACCTTCATTATCTCTGTGCTCCACCTCCTGGGAGGTGACTGCAGCCAAAAGGTCTCTGATGCTTCCTCATCCCTGGGCTGAAACATGGCAAAAATCGTTGTGAACTCAGGTGATTAAAGTCATGGTCACACAAAGGTCTGGTGAGGGTCAGATGGGCAAGAAATGCTGAGGATCTCTGCTAACCTAATTGTTTAATCAGTAATTTATAGTAATTTATTTAGATGGCTATCTAATCACTCACTAAGCAGTTGGATAATTGTCCCTGGTGTGAAGCCCACCAGGATTAGTCAACCAAAGTAACTCCTCCCATTGAACACCTTGCAGACTGAGGGAGCCTGAAGGACCACAGGTGTCATTATGAGATCCACAGGGAAAAGCACTTCAGGATTCTGTAAAACTTATGGCGTGTTTTTAAGGGGTTTGATGGAACATGTCAGTCATTATGTAATACTTAGGGAAAGGATCAAATGTAGGGAAAAAGAAGGTTCAATATGGCTCAGGAAGGAATAAACATGGGAAAGCAGAGGCAAATGTGGATAAACAGGACTGGCTCAGTATAAACAAGATTCTGTTTATACTGAACAGTCAGTGTTATTTCTCTGTGGGAGTCCATCACTACTGTGTGCCCCATCCTCTCATTCAATTCTACTTCTTTGCGGGTGCATCCTCTGCTCTTGGCAGGTTCCTGTGAACACCAGTGAACTTCAGGCTGGAATCACCAATAAGAGAAGAGGTCTGGATACCAGTAACAGGAGCATAGCTCATATCCTCTGGGTGCCAGCAGCAGAGCAGGCCACTGGGATTTGGGCTGGACAAACTATCTGTGCAAATACGTGTGTTTGTTTTTCCTTGAATACTGATCAGCTGGGGAACAAGATCAGGCTGTCAGGGCTGCTCACAGTCTCCCTTTCTGCCCAGTGGGTCTCCAGAGCTGTTCACCAACCCATGGGCCCCATCCTGCACCATTATCAGCCAGGAGTATTTGCTTGGATGGTACTGCAGGTGGTCAGCAGCCTATTTCTCCAGTGTTCCAAGGTCCCTCTAGAGGGTGGTCCTCCCCCCCAGCATATACACCACTCCTCCAATTTGGTAGCATTTCCAGATTTGCTCTGGTCTTGCCATGCCCTCACCCAACTTAGGAAAGATTTTAAATTGCCTTACCCTAGCACTGCACTACCGTTATCAGTCCCTGTGGGACCTCAGACCACTGAAGTCAACCCTTAGAGCTCGAAGATCCAGTTCACCTTCAAGCCCACTGATCCACAGCTTAACACGTGGCCACCAAGTACCTGATGCTAAAGGCCTTGCTAAAGTTGTCCAGCATCCAGTGCTCTTCCCTTCTCCACAGAGTGTAGGTGCAGCAGCCTAGCACACGTGCCTGACCTGCTGGAAAGGCTGGGGTGTACGCTGTGGATCTTCTGCTGGCTTATAGAGAGCCAAGGAAAAAAAATCTTTTTTTTCTAGGGAGCAGAAATACAGATATACAGTATCTGAAATATGGACAGATTTAATATTTTTTTCCTTAAACCTGAATTCATTTACAAGAAGGAAGCTCAAGCTTCATCATGCTCTGACTCTGTAGGACTGATCACATGTTACAAGCTTTGAGCTGAGCTGACTGATGGTGACCTGGTGAATCTGGTAAAGGAAGCTACAGACCACTGTAAATGGCTGAACCTGGCCCTGGCCAACAGGAAAGGTGCTGAATGGAAAAAATTAACATGTCAAAACTTTCTCCACACTGAGAAGACATTCCTGCTCAGAAGGTATTTATGGAGGCGTCTATGCCCATGCACAGGGTACTACCGAGGAAGCTGCAGCCCAGGCTGATCCCACACCAGATCAGGGACTACAGATGACTTGGACAGAAGGAATTGGTATGCTCAGAATGGCAAAAAAAATAGCATTCCTGCTTCCCGCAGCACTTGTCTCCGTGACTGAGGGTTTGGAACACGCTGAACATGATATGGGGAGATTGGATGAGAAGGGAAGTGGAACAACCAAATAGCGAGATAAGAATTTGTGTTGAGGCATTTGCATTCTCTGTACATTCAGATAAAATACCAGAACTTTAAGTTGATTTAAAATAAAACCATTTTTACATAATTCCCCAGTTAAAGTCTGCTTGCCTGTGGCAAGAACCAACTCATTCCTTCACTGCCTGAGCTTTGCATTGCTATTGCCCATAAGCTGATGAAGCTAAAATATGACTTCATTTGCCTGTGCCCAAAAGGGAAAGGGTGAAAAAGAATAAAAATGGCAATTCTGAAGTTGAAAGTACCACGTTTCTTTCATGTAACCCCTAAACTGTGAGTTAACTTGAGATAGAGACACAGTGTCTTCTTCTTCCTTCCTTTCCTGGTCTTGCAGACCTAAATAACACAGTTTTCCCAGGCCTTTTATTTTAGCCTGGATGCAATCTGGACATCTTCCATCTTCAAAGGAGGAATTATTATTTAACTAAGTAATCTGAAGAACTGTAACCTTAATTCACACACAGTATTTAAGATTCCACTATTTGATAAAATGTCCAAGAGATGTACTAGAAGCAAAAAATATCAGAAGGAAGGAAAAGAGGATCTTGTGAATGTCATCCCACACTGTTTTAGGATTCTGTACACCAGAAGCAACTTCCCCTCCACCCTTTCCATCTCTTTATTAGCACTCTTTCTCTCTGAGTCAAATATTTTTTAAACATAATCTGTTCGAATGTTAGGGATAATTGCTTAGGAATTAACCAAGTGAGCAAACAGAGAATATGTTGGTAATGCCCACATGGTTGCTCACCAACAGGTAACCAGAAGAATATTGGGAATGATAAAAATGATAAATTTGTACTACATTAACACCATATTTTGCAGTGAAAAGTGATTTATTAGAAGTATTTAATTTTACATCTCCCAGCAGCTCACAGTGAATGGCAATACGTTGCCAGCGTATCGAACATTGTGGTTGCTTTATAGGTGAAAAAAACTTCATTATTAGTGATCAAGATGGCCTGTTATTAACACATAAAAACTAAAGGCCTAACTTTTGAGATTTGCTTTATCTGAAGTATAAGATGCAAAGTGTATTAATGAGCCTAACAAATGGGCTATCAGGTCTATACGTCTCGAAAGCTTTCTTTTTCCAGATTTATAACAAAAGTTAAAGTTCTCTCTATGCTTCTTTTCTTCTATACCTCTAATATATTTAGATTAAATCCTATCAGCTACTAACAAGGACAAAAATATGAGGCAAAGAAACACACATAAAGAATATTGATAGTCATTGTAGTCATCAACATATATCTTCTTGACAGAAGCAAGGAAAACAACATTGTTAGGAATTAATTACAGCACATTCAAGTGAGATGGCGAGACAGGTCACTGGGGGAAGGTGATGCAAACTGCAAACACACCTTTTATTCTGTTGGTAACTTAGTCCATTAAGCTGTTTTCCTATTCACTGCTCACAACTCTCTACCCTCGTGTGGAAAACACGACCAAATGTTCAGCATGGCCGCCACAAACCTGATTTAACATTTATACATTGATAAGAAGAAACACAACATTTTAGCAGTGGATGGACTCCACAGAAGATTCATTACTTTGTTAGACCATAAGCATTTCTTATTCAGTGCCTGAAGTGCAGATCGAAATCCATTACAGATAATGATTGCACTCACCTTACAAACAAAATGCTGCCTTTAAATAGAAATGCTTGCTGCCCGTGCAAAACAAGCAAAATCACTTACCTGGGATATTTGTAGAACAATAAGTTAGTAATAATTTCAATGCCTCCACTAGAAACAAAACAAACACAAAAACCCCCTGAGGCTAACAGACAGAAGATTTTGTGAACAGCACCAAGAAGTCCTGAATATTTTTAGGATCCTGTAGTCTAAGAAGGTAAAAAAACTGTACGTGCAGAAGATTTTCTCAGTGCCCACAAGGCACTGGTCTGTATTTATGTTAAGATATACATTTTAAGGTTCAAAACATGTAATATCACCATTCTGTTATTTGGGGAGCGCTATAATGGCAGCTACAGAAGAGAAGTTATCAAAAAAACAGTTCAATTCAACATTTTTAAAGCAAATTCAATTTTAACACTGGACAGACCCTTCAAACCCTGACCCAAATAAACAAGGTTACTCTTCAAATTCTCTTCAAATAAAGCCTTTATTTTCCTTCTTCCATTCCAGTGGCACCGGACTTCGCAACGCAGAACGGCACACCGCACACTTATTTTTCAATCTTGCACTCTGTGAAAGTGGTTCTGATCCATTGCTGTGAAGAACAGGCAGATAGCAGCTGTGATGAACACATGCACTCCCTCATACAGCAGTTTTGGAGAGAAGACACTCCATATGAACAGGTGGTACCGCAGACCCGTCACCAAAACAACGTAGATGGCAACTGGAATTGAGCGCATTAGAGCGTAGCAGAAACAGCCGTGACCCACTGCTGCTGAATTCCTGGTAACAAAAACAGAGGAGTTTATTCCCAGGCAAACTTAGTAAAGACATTGGAGTTCCTCCACTCTTGAGCAGTATTTCGCAACGCAAGGAATACTCACAGATCTCCATTTCGTGTTAGAAAGCTGATTATTGATGCAATTATGTAACTAATAAAGCTTGTTCTTATCACCATTATATATGTTATAACATGTAAGTATGTGAGGTGTAAGCATATCAATTGTCAGTGCAATAAAGGTACCCAGTAGTTCACATCACACTTAAATGGTTCTGTGCTTTAATATATTTTGTTCTAACTGTTAAAGTCTCCATTAGGCAGTTTCAAGATAGCTTTGTCTCCTGTTGGCCTTCCAGTGCCTTTCCACAGAATTTGAATGTTAAGAGGAAGAGAATAGACTTCAGTTCTCTTCACAAAGCTTCCTAACCTGTTCAGTGGATCACCAGATGGAGTCTGTGCCCCTTGTAAAGAGCACAAGACTTGCCAGAGTACACTGCTGCCCATAGCCAGTAACACTCTTCAAAACAACATAAAAATTGTGCTACTGGAAAGCTTTGCAAAGCTAGCTAACATAACATTCTCCAGGGAACACCATATTCTTAGGCTTGCAGGAGCAATACACAGCATTCCTGTCACAGCAGCTTTAGCTCAGCTGGGTCTGCTGTATCGCAGGAAATGTCTGCCCCAGGTGTAACCCACATGGTCCAAATCTGCCACACTGATGTATTCTGGTGGGTGACAAGAGTCAGATGAAAATGGAAGTGAAAGGGTTTTATGCACTTTGATTGTTCTCCCTCTCCTGAAGTGCCAACTCAAAGAAACGATGCTGAGTTGGCGCCTGTCCAATTTCCCCAGACCACATCTGCAGAGGCTAATTCAGACCAAATTCAGATGTTTACCTGTTCAGACAAAAGGAAGGAATAAAGCTATTTTGCTGGAATAATAAGAACATTTTCCTCTCCCTATCAAAACATTTTACATCATCAGTTCCCAAAAGAACTCACTGGCAAAATGCAGAAGTGTTTTACACTGAGGTCCTGATCTGAGAATCTGTTCTGCTCCTCCCAGTTTTTAATCCTGATCTTGTTCCAAGTAATGAAAATTTAACATGACTAGCACTTCTGTGAGATGTAAATTAGTCACTTATGACTAAGTAAGCTACAGAATGCAGTATTTTACATAAACCATTAAATTTCTTATTCTTTAAATAAAAATAAGTAGGATACAGCCCTGTTTTCCAGTGAAGTCAAGATTTAAATTCCCAAGGCTTTCAGTGGAAGGAAAAACAGGTCGTGTTGAAAGCAGAGTTGAAAAATCAACTAAGAACAGCAGGCATGAATGACTGCAAAACATACATTTAGTTCACAGAAGAGTATTTCCCTTGCTGTTTAGCCAAGGAAACTGTGACTTGGGAGTGAACTAGGCTGTTCCCCGCTTCTGTATAACTATTTTAGTCTTTAGTGAGCTTGTGTAAATAACCAGCTTTACGTTTAATAACCAATTTTGTTGACAAAGATTTAACAACCTGCAGTTCACTCAGTCTTAGCTATTTTCACGCTGAGTAAAAACAGTATGTGCAGTAAAAAAAGCAGTTGTTGAACGACACAACGGATTAGACATAGGAAATGGCTTTTGAGTCAGATAGGGCAAACAGCTAATTTTTAAACCACTTTCTAGAGTCAAAAAATGCACTCCACAGACCATCTAGATGAAGGCTATCAGTGGTTGTGGCTATCACATTTATTAAGCTCAATGATGGGATTTTAAAGGGAATACTAAAAGCAAGAAGTGAGTGTCTATGGACTTACATATCCAGGTCTTTCAAGAGCCCTGTATTTCAAAATTAAATTTCAGTTCATATATTTTTCTCTAGTTTGTGCTCACCTAACAACACATTTAGTGCCTTACAGTGAAAAAGATCCTAATCATAAATCAATGGTGTTAAAAATTTTTTAAATGGCTATTTTTTAACTATGAAGAAATTGTCCAGAAGCTTATTTTGAATTGAATCTCTATGTGTTCACTTCTTTGGCTGAAAAATTAGGTAAACATAATATTTTAGATATTTCATTTTACACTGAAATGAGAGCACACAGGGATCTTTACTAGTAACACTTAAATTTTGCATTTTCATATTCTGATTACTGGCAAAGAATCCCCAAGTCAATGTTACAATTCTTCCTGCATTCTGCTATCACCAAAATGATGGACTGTTTTTTGCTTATATAATAGCTTTACTTCTAAAAGGTCTCAGCACTCACTTCACCTCTCAAAAAAACATGGACAGCCACCTGCAGAGGAAAATCTTGGCCAGTTTCACAGTATAAAGCAGTGGTGCAATTTAGAGAAGGCAACAAAAGCACACTGTATCCACAAAGTTTAACTGTCAGTGGGGTTCAATAGCAGAATGATTGGGTTTATTTTGGAACTGGTGAAAGGGTTCACACGTGTGTTGTTGAGGAAACATCATTGGAATGACTGAGCACAAGCCAGTTACACCGACTTGGCTGTTCTGATGCTACAGCAACAACTCACTTCTTCAAGCACATCACCATCCTTTATTCTTGCTTCAGCCAGGGACAAAATCTGCCGAACAGCTAAGAGTAACGACTTTGTGCACTCCTTCTGCTCATTCTACACACACAGTGACCACAAAGAACCAGGCCACAGGAAGGCAGCAGCCAGGGAACAGGCTGCTTTTGATAACATCACCATGACAATACAGCTAGTTCAGCTGGTTCCCAAGTGATTCTGAAAGAAGTCACCAGAAGAACACAGAAAGCTGGCTGTGACATGCCACTCAAGTATCCTACTGTTTACGATCTGGATCAGCCAGTAATGAATAACCTTGCAACATCTCACTGCTGTTGCAGTAAAAATAATGGAAGACCACAGGACAAATCTAAGGCATCAGTCTGTAAATACTCCATACCAAACTGTCTCTTCAGCAAATAATGCCTTTCTTCATTTAAAGGAGAAGAGAGACATAAACTGGATGCACTACGTCCACGTTCTGACAAAACCAGCCCAATACTAAGGCCTCTGCACAAAGAAGCAGTAAAAAAAGGAATAGTCAACCTAATACTGAGCTCATTTAGCAAGTTCACTTATGAGGACTTGAATAAGAAACCCAAATGTTAAAGATGACAAAGCGTATCCAAACTTCATGCAAGATCCAGAAAAAAACCAATGATTTTGGAGGCTTCTGAAGCAAAGAACACTACAGATTCACATCACTAGACATGCCATATTTAGACTGAAAGCATTAAGTACTGTCTAGAGCACATATTGTCTTTCAACAAAAATCATCTCTTTTAATTTAATCTTAAATACATAGAAAAATATGGCCAAGAAATTGTGCTATTAATAGGTTTTCTGCTTCTTTGGATATCCGAAATCCTGATTGCCAGTGTTTTGTCAACAAATCTTTCACCTCTCAATCTGTCTCTAAGGTGCCATTAAAATGGGTAAATACAAGGCTTGCAAAATGAAAAAAATTATGGTGCCAAAAAAAAAAAAAAGAAAGAAAAATAACTCTTTTCTTGTGAAAATATATCTCCCAGTTATACAGAATACACAGCAGATGGTGGCAACAAATTTTGTAGTTTAAAAATCAAGCAAAAAGCTCCACAGACAGCCCTACAAATGCATCCACAAGGAATTCTGAAATACACTGCTCTACAAGGGTTCCCACCCTTGTTCCAACCCACCAAATCAAACAAACATTTTAGAAACATGCAAGCATATGAGCGAGGAATACCCTAGTATTGCAATTTTTCTAGAGTTGGAGGAGGAGGGTTGTTTCTGGAGCGTTTCAGCTGAATATTACTGCCTAGGTAATCTCTTATTACTGAATTTGCCTATTTTAAGACAATTTTTACTGTATTAACATTTCTTCCTGTATTAAGTGGCACTTTTCTTTCCAGGCATTCTGCAGTTTCAAGTTTGCAAGATGTCCCTTTTTAGTGGTCTCTGAAAAATAGTTGGCGTTTTGTTAATTTGTCCTGTATATACTAATTAAGGGTTGCAGTCAGAAACAAACCCTTGTAGCACTCCAAGTGCCTGCAACATCTTAAGAGTATCTGCAATCTGTATGAAATTTCTCTGATCTAAGCGAATATCAGTTTATCAGTAAGAACAAATTTGCTACGTCTCTCCCACATGTCCCACTCTCACCCATTGTAATTCTTGCAAGGCCTTTCTAGATCACAGCACAGAATCCTGCATTGTCAGGAAAAACACAGTTCCAAAGGAACCTGGAGTCCTTTGGAGATTTACATGATCAACTCTGGCACAGAGCATCAATCAGAACTACGTTAATTCTATAAAGTCACAATTTTTGTCGCCAAACACCATCAATGGACAGATGTAAAAAAGGGTGGTTGCCAGCAAGCTAAAAGGGCTATCAGGTATATTCTATTAGAATGGAAATTATGGAACTTGGGGATGATTACTGATTTTCCTGTGCATTCTCTTTCCGAGTAAGAAAGGCAGAGAAGCTACGACTGCCCGAGCAAGGTCAAGTGTCTGTGGCAGTAAGTTACAGGGGACTACAGCATATGTGGACTGCAATACAGGGTTCAGCAGGTTCTCATAATGATTTAGCTGTAAAAATCTATTAAGACCTGAAGCTTCAATTCTCTTCATTTCAGCATCAAGAACAGGAAAAATAGAATCATATCAACATTTTTTCCTGTTTTCACTGCTGGCGTAATCAGTTGTGCTGTGAACGCCCTGTCTGCAAAATAAGCAGTCTCACCCACTGCTAGCTAATCTGCTTAGAACAGAACTCTATCTAAAACGCAGGGCATGTATCAATTACATTTCAGATTCCTTTCTCTCATATTTAGTCAGGCTTGGCCACTGAAAATCATTCTGAATGAACTCCCCTAAATTGCATACTTATCAAAGATTTATATTAGACTGTAAGTAGAAATCCAATTACGCTGGCATTGGGCCGGAAGGTCTGAACAGCCACTCTGAATGTCTGCTATCATCATTT